TAATAATTAGAAAAACTATATTCATTTACTATATTGTTGATATTTTTGGTCAGATTGAACAATTTTTTCGATATCTTTTCGTGTATTTTCAATGTTAAAAAACAAGAAAACATTTATAAAATGCACCCAGTGTTCTCATTTGTTGAGTTAATGTCATGTTTATAATTTAATTGATGTTATCAAAAACAATAAAAGTTGGTCAACTTAATGGGTAACTCAGTGTTTATTCTTATATTTTATCAAATAATTATATTTGTGATTTTAATTTGTATTTAACCATCAATTCCAAAGTCATGATTGTGTATAAGCAAGATTATTTGGACAATCAAAATGTTTATTTTATAATCATAAAAAATGTTTTTAACTTTGTTATTGGGTTGTTTTAATTTTTTGTGTTTTGGCAAGTTTTGTTTTATGACAACTCGAATAATGATACAAAAGTTATACTTCAGCTACTGTAAATTTTCGGGTTTTATGCTTTAAAATTTGTTGTTATTGTCATTGATAAGTGCTTGTTTATTCTTAAAATTTTACAAAAAAACACAAGTGATAAAAAATACGGTTCATATCAGCTTTGCACGTCTATCGTTATAGTTTAGTCATTAAACAAAGATTGTTCAGAACAGTTTTTTGTATTTGTTTATCTTGAAATTTTTTCATATTATTTACTTTCGATAAAAACATCAAAAAACGAACTTCGAAAAAAAAATTAAGTTCACTCTTCAAAATTTCAATTATGTGGTTTAAATAATTAAGTGCCACATTAGTGATGCTAAACACTTGTTGATTGATGAGGCACCGTTGTTCATTTACGATATGAAAGTTGAGTTGAGTAGATATGGTGGTATCAATGGTGTTCTATTTTTATGAACTTTGTTTAAAAAACACATTTCGAAAAATATTAGACATTGTTATAAACTATTCAAACTATACCGAACTATACTTGCCAATAACAATAATTACAGAATAACAAAAAAATAATTTATCAAAAATAATAATCTTAACAACATATAAATTTTCAAAGAATTATATTTCGTGAAAAAGAACAAAAAATACATCAAGAACCGTTTAAAGCATCATTTGGAAGAAGAAAGAATAAAAAAGAATCAGTTTATAAAATCAAAGTGAAAAATGAAATTTCTTTGAGTAAAATTATTTTTTAAAAAAATAAATTCTATTTTAGGAAGTGTACCAGTATTTTCTGGTGTACGACAATTTTCTGGTCGACTTTAGTTGATTTTATAGTGGTGCGATAAACTATTTGTAAATGATCAATTACTTGTCGTTTTTGGTAGATCTTCCAAAACAAAAACAAGTCATTTTTAACTTTTTACAATCTTTTTATTTTGTATAATAAAAAAATAAGCCTATAATGCATTAACAATGGTTTGTTTTAAACAAAATATGTCAAGAAAAAAATACATAATAACACAGTTGTATTTTATGACCACATGTTTATTGCCATTATAAAGAACAAAAAATAATGTAAAATTGTTAATTTGTTATTATATTTCATATTCTGTGTGTTTTTATTTATAATTATTTTGTGTGTTGCTACTTTAACAACTGAAAACACAACGATTTAATTCAAAGCAATTGTTGATTACTTAGTAAAAAAATAAATTAAAGATATTTTTATCATAATCATTGACAGTTCAAACATTAATGTATCAACTTGGTAGATATAGTTGTTAAATTTATCTATAACAACTTCGTTGTAACTTAACAAAAATTAATCGGGTTTGAAATGTAAATAGGTGAAACTTTTAATTGTAAAATAAACTAAATTAAAACAATGAAAAGTATTATTTTTTAAGTTTTAACTTAATATGATATCAATAACAACCGTATTTAATAATTTAATTGCTAAAAGAAACATTTTTAAAAATTACAATACCGACCCCATGAGGACATTTCGGCTTTATCATGCGTTATATAGATGCACAGATTCCCACAATCATCGTGTCGA